ACGTGAGAACCACGTGCGCCTGGAGGCTTAATTTGAAATCTTTGAGTTATATTTGGACAGGGAACATAACCTCAAAATTTCAGTTTCCTATCTTTCCGCGTTCCCGAATTATCAGTTTTCCCGCCAAAACTTTCCCCCTCTCGTACGCGGGGCCGAGACGCGTGAAAGGTGGCACCGCGGTTCTGGGGTGGTACTTGGCCGGGGTACCCATTAGCAAAATCTCGGCGCTGGAACTTGCTTGGTTACCAATTTGAAATACCCGGACAGACGAACACACACACACACACACAAACATACACACATACATACACACACACACAAACATACACACACACATACATATACACACAGACGGGGTCGTCCCAATATGCGTTTCTGCAATTTGCATATAGGCAAGAACGCATAATAAGTGCTGAAAAATGCATATTTTATAACTGTGAATCAACATATTGTAAATGGTGAAATTCTGCGCGCGATTGCATTTCCCCGGGTCCGAGCAACTCATAATAATAAATAGCGGCTGGGCTGCCGGTAGTACATGTAAAATGCATACGTTATGGGCAATATACGCACGAATTACGGGAAATTTGAGGGTTTTTACGTAAGTGTAACGCAAGTTTCACTTGAATTTTCAAACGAACAGCAAGCATTACACGACAGAAATTGCAATGGGCGAGAAAGAGCGCAGTAAGTTGAGAGGGCGCAGAGATGGACGCATGAGACGTCGTTGTGCTGATCAGAGAAAGAGGGCATTGGCGGTGATTGACGGGGACGGAAGCGAACTGTTCGAATTGGTGCGTTGCAGCAGCGTTTGGTTCAGTTCGGGAAGCGTGTGCGTGTAACGGGGCTGGCACGATGATGATGGACGTGTCGGGGTGTATGGGCGACGATGCGTCGGGGCGCGGGGGCGAGGCGCCGAGCAGCGCGGTCACCGTCTCACTGCATCCACTGGTCATCATGAACATCTCCGAGCACGTGACACGTATGCGTGCGCAGCAGAACGATCCGAAGCAGCCAATCCAGGTCTGTCCAAGCCGCCCAGGCTGCCTTTTGTGTTACCATTGATGACCATATATATATATAAAATTAGATGAATGGGAATGTATCGGTCCATTAAGTTGTATACATTTCTGTTCAGCACCACAACTACTGTGTTGTTGACAAAATAATTAACTGAAGTGAAATGAGAGGGGTTTTTTTCAAAAAAAAGTTTTTGATTTGAGAAGTAATAAAAAGGAGGCTGTACGCAGGTGCGCTGGGTCCTTCGCCTTTGGGCTGCTCAGTTATGGTACTCGAAATTCACCAAACTACAGTGAACCATTGAATAAAGATATCGATGATGCTTCACATGATAAATGGAAATAAAAATATTTTGAAAGACGAAAATATTAAAAATAATCAGAGGAACAGGAATATTTTGGTCCATCAAGTTCGAAATTTGATGGGG